CATCCCTTCGTCGCTCCATCCCTCCATCCCTCCATCCCTCCTGCTGGGGTCGGTGCTGTGCGTCTCTCCCCGGTGGGTCCTGGCTCCCAGTGCTGATCTGGCCGTGCCCCCCCTCTCCCCGCCTGTCACTGCCCTCTGCCCCGGGGCCGGGAGTGCTGGTGGTGGGTGCGGGGCGCCCCGACTGCCCCCGCATGGGCTCCCTGTCCTGGCAGAGCGGCGCTTTGGGGCTCTCTGCAAACGCAGGCAGGGCTGGGCACGGGCAAGGCATGGCGGGAGGTTGGTGGGTGTTCTGCGGGGAAGGGGAAGCTCGCCGTGCCTGGGTGGCAGCGGCACTGGGGTGGCCCAGGGGTGGCCCGGTCCTCCTGGGAGGGAGGTGGGCTCTGTCCCCAAGGTGTGGGTGCTCCCGCTGACCCCCTGGGTGGCTGGCAGGGCACCTGGCCGGGCTGTTGGCATCGGGCACCACCTGCGTCAACGTGTACCAAGGCTTCTCGGACTGCGTGCTCAAGCTGGGGAAAAACATGGCCACGTACGAGGAGGAGGACGGCACGGAGCTGCAGAGCTTGCACCGAGTCTGTGGGTGAGTACGGCCCCACACCAGGGCCCCCTGCATTTCCTACACGGTGGGGCCGCTCCCCGGAGGATGGCAGGTTGGGGGTTTCTCTGTGGTGCACGGCCAGCGTGGCTTTTGGGCACTGCCCCTGGGCCGGGTGGCCCCTTGAGTCAAGTGCTGCTGCCCAAAGCCATCCTTCTCCCTCCCTGCTCAGCCCCTTCCTCCTCCTGGCGGGAATTGGCCCCCCCGTGGGGTGGGTGAGTCTGTAGCGGTGCCCCCAGATGATGGTGGTGGGAGGAGGTGAACTTGAGCAGGACTGCAATAACAGCGAGAGTTGGATCCCGAGGGGTGGTGTTGGGTGGGTTTGGGGAAAGGTCTTCTGTTTAAAAAGCAAGTGGGCAGAACGGGTTGGGGGGAAGAGAGGGGAGCAAGTAGAAGGGCGAAAATAAAGTGTTTTTGGGGATAACTGGGGGCAGCTCCGTGTCCCCAGCAGTGAGTTGTGGGGAGTGGAAAGGAGTCAGAAGGAAATGCAGAGAGAGATGAAGGGAACCCCCCTGTGCCTTTGGGCGGTTGAAAGGTGGCAGGGCAAGGCGAGGGGCTGAGTGCCCTGTGGGTCAGCCTTTCCAAGCTTCTGAACCCCCCACCGTGGGCTGGGAGGGGAAGGCATCGCCCTTAGCCGTGGGGTAGAGGCTCTGGGATGCACTGCATGGTGTCAGCACAGCTGGATGGCATCTGTCAGGGCTGCAGCAGGGCCGGGGGCATCCGGAATGGGGCAGTTGGTGGCAGCAGGTTGGTTTCTGAGCAAGCCGGGACAAGGAGCCAGTTCCGCTGCCGAGGCAAGCGGAGGGTCCCCAGCCCTTCCACCTGCCCCAGATGAAATATCTAACTTTGGTTGTTGCCAGAAGTGGAAAACCCTTCAACAAAACTCTTTTCCTCAAGAAGAATGGAAAACTAACTATCCTCCCTTTTTTTAATTTTCATTTATTTTGTCCATGCATTCCCCTGTTTGTAAACATGCTGATGGGAGGTTGGCTGTGACCTGCTCTTCATTCCCCCTTCTCCATGGGACAGCCTAGCTCAGGATGAAAATTCTCTCTGGGATGTGGCTGAAGGCTGGGTTGAAACAGGAACTGCTCTGCTTTGGGCTGTAATATATACTTTTTTTGAACATGTGGCTCCTTGTTACTAGAAAACAACTGAGCCGGCAGCCCAGTACTTGCTTTGGCTGACCACTGGAGTAGTAATTCCTCTGCTGAAACTCACATGAAATGTGTGAGATAAGTTTTTGGGTTTTTTACAGGCTCTGGGGCACTAACCATCACAGAACAGGTCCTGGGATCTTCCCTGCTGGCAGGGCTGGGGCTCTGCACCTTCAGGGACATGCCAGCTTCTCCTACCAGTCCCAGTGCATGGCTAGCTGGGCTTGCTGTGGCTGGAGGAAAAAGGTGGTGATCATAGAATCATAGAAGGGTTTGAGTGGGAAGGGACCTTAAAGATCATCCAGTTCCAACCCCCATTGCCCTGGGCAGGGACACCTTCCACTAGACCAGGTTGCTCAGAGCCTGGCCTTGAACACCTCCAGGGATGTCCCAGCTTCCTTCCTGAAATATTTGGAAATATTTCAAAATTATTTGCCCTTAACTTTCAGCCTTCCCTGCTGCTGTCTGCTTTTCTGGAGCCGTGGTCCCCTCTCCAGGAGCGCGGGTGAGGGATAGTCGTGGAGCTGGGAGCCCACATGGGGCTGGTGGCATCTTTGCTCTGTGTGCGTGGTGCTGCCCCAGGGCCGGGCTGGGCAAGTCACTCAATGGCAGCCTGCCTGGCTGAGCAGATGGAGGCTGCGAAGGGTGAAACACTGGGAATTGCCATCCCGGCTGAAAGCAGAACCAGGCAGGAGCTGTCATCCCCCTCTGACATCCCTGAGCCATCCTTTGCCCGAAGGCACAGCCAGGTTTAACCCTCGCCTGGCAGAGCTGCTGCTGCTGCAGCTCAGGAACGAGAGCGGGAGGTTACCTGGCTCGGCACCAGCTTTTCTCATTATCTGGAGACATTTATTCTGCCACAGTGACTCGGTTTAATGAACTCTTTCACAGCTGGCGTTCTGACGTAAGCCCTGGTAGGAAAACTAAGTAAGTAGAGTGCTCGGGTCCGCCTGCCTGTACAAGGTGTCGTCTCCAGCACAGGGCACTTGGACAAAACCAAGGTGCCCCTTCCCCGTGTGCAGCATCCCTGCTCGGCTGTCCGGGCTGCATCTCCTTCCCGAGGGCTGGCACGTGTGCCTGGTGTCCTGGTGGGATGGGGAGGGCGGCAGAGCAATTGCCCCTGTCCTCTAGGCAGCTCCCAGATTGCAGGTGAATTGTGGCCTGGAGGTGGTGCCCAGCCCCGGCTAACGTGGGACAGCAAAGCTGGGGTGCCTGGGGGTGTGAGCCGGGGGTGCTGGGGGCTGAGCCGGCTGGCACTCAGGGGTGCTGCCCGTGGCTGGTCCCTGCCTTGCCTTGGCCTTGGGAGCCAGGACGTGCGTTGCTCCAAAGAAGCTGCAGTATAAAATGCTTTTGTGAAGCTCTTTGCAGGTAAAAGAAACTCTCTCTGAAAGAAGTCATGGGGGCGGGGTTAGCGGCAAGCGTGGTGTAGAGCCTTATCTGTCCCTGGGGAAGTTTGTGTTTTGGTGAGGAGCCACTTCCAGAGGAGAGGAAGGATGGCCCGTGGCATTTGCTGAGGCTTTTGGGCTCCTGCTGTTTTATTTTGTGGGTTTGTACCTACAAAAAAAGAGGTCTCGCCTGTGAATTCAGCTGTGTCAGGACTTACGGACACACTAGTGTGCGTGCAGCCACCTGCCAGGCTGCGGGTGCCCTCCCTGACACAGAGCAGCATCTACAGCAGCTTTTGGGGAGTCTGATGCAGAGTCTAATGCCCCCACTATCCTCAGATACTTGGCAGCCAAAAAAAAATAATAAAAAAAAATCAGGCAGGGATGCTCATTCTTGTCCACCCTGTGCTGGGTGGGGGGACACAGCCCAGCCTGGTACCTGCTGTCCTGGTCCTCGGAGAGCTGGAGCCCACCCTGCTCTGCTCCGCTTGACACCTGCGGGCAGAGAGCTCGCGGGAAATGGCGGAAACCCGACTTCTTCAGAGCCACCGCGCTGCTTCGCCATAGCTAAGGAAGGAGCCTGGGGAGGGGATGAGGCTCAGCAGGCTGAGGACTGCTCTGGGTATATACAGCGTGGGGTCAGCCCTTGGTGGGGTCAGCCCTTGTGGCACTGGCCCCAGCGTGCTGGACCGGTGGGGTGGTGTCCACCGTGCCCCTCCTGGGAGAGTCTTCTCGGGGACTGCAGTTTTCAGCTCTGTTTCTGTTGGGATTTTCCCTTGGGGGGCGGGAAGAAGGAGAAGAAAAAAACCCAACAAAAACCAAACCCAAAAAATCCAAGTCGGCATCCCCAGGGGAGGCAGCCCATGGGTCTTCAGCAGTCAGCTCCCCGTTTCTTACTACAGGACTGCGGGTTATCTTTGCCCGTCTTCTTGTTTTTCCCTGGTACTCCTTAAGAGCCTCTTCCCATTGAATGGCTTCTACTCATGCAGGGTAATACCTGGCAGATAAATGGAGATGTGTCTAATGAGAACAGAGTGAATAACTCCTCCTGCCCCTGCCTGTACCTTCGCTGTAAAGCTGTGACCGTCTGCGGGAGATGTTGTCCTTCTCTTTGCTTTGTGCTTGCGTTTCGCCCTTGACTCAGCTTGGAGAAAGCTGTGAATGAAACACACTGGGTCTTTCTTTGCAGCCTGTTTTAAATACTCGGGGTGCTCAGTGCTGAAGGGAAACATTTGTTGATGGAAAAATAATGGATTTTATTGACTTGCAGAGAAAGAAAGAAAGAAAAAAAAAAAGGCATGAAATAATTTCAGTGTGTTTTGATGTTTGGAGTTTTAGCCAAGATGCTCTGGGAGACGATGGAAGGGATGACAGAATACTGAGGTTGTTGCTGCTCAAAGGGCAGGATTGGGGCCGCGAGGCTCTGCTCCTTGGTGCTGAGCTGCCGCAAAGGGACTGATGGTGCGGTGTCTCCCCTGGCTGCAGGTACTGGGATGAATTTCACACGTGTGCCCTGACGGCGGTCTGGGAGTGCCAGAAGGAAGCAGTGGCCGTCTGGGAGATGCTGAGAAGGGAGTCTCAAAAAATCAAATTTCAAGGCAGCTTGTTCGACCTCTGCAGCCCCCGCATGGCCCAAAGCTTTGCCTGGACCCATATTCCCAACGTTTCCATCCTCTGCATCCCACTCATCATCACTTGGCTGAACTTGTAAATGACAGCTCTGTAAGTATCGCAACAAAGGTGGTGGCAGCGTGTGTCGTGGCATCTTTGATCATTTGTCCAAACCTTTGAGGAATAAGCTGTGCAGTGCTCAGCGAACACTTGGCACCATCCTGCGCCTATGAGACATGGAAGAGCTCGGCAGCACCTCCTGGGTTTTGCTGTTTCTCTGTAATTTGGAATAACACCTGTCCCCTTCTGCCTCAAGGCACAGGCGCAGATCTGACTGTGGAATTTTGGAACTTGTAGATATGGGGCAGAGGATTTGGGGGAAAATGATGAATTGGTCGTGAATGCTGGATTCTCTTGTACTCTTCTATGGCTACTGGAAGGAGATCTGTTTACTCTGCTGACTCTTTCCACCACATCAACTCTCCAGATTTTTGATTTGGGCACTGAAAAGATGGCCATTTTTACTGCTGATTTGTGAGGTGCAGGGGGTAGTGTATGTCCTGTCAAAGGCAGAAAGGAGACCTTACTGCCCTGTACTGGCCTTTTTTCTTTGAGGACAG